TTTACCACCCCACCTCGCGCCGTGTCTTCCCCTCTCAGGACGTCACGTTCAACGAGTCGGTTCCCTTTTACCGTCTCTTCCTCTACCGCACTGCCCCACCTCCCCCCCCGCCGCTCTTCCTCGCTCCAGGTGCTCCCCACGTAGACCCCCTCCCCGCTCCTGGTCCTGCTCCTTTAGGTGTGTCTCAGGTAGACCCTCCTCCCTTGACTGCGCCGGTTGAGGTCACTGGTGACTCAAGTCATGCTGAGGGTGGTCCTGCTCGGGGTGCTGCTTTTGGGGGTGCTGAGCCTGGGGGTGCGGAGTCTAGGGGTGCTGAGCCTGGGGGTGCGGAGCCTAGAGGTGCTGAGCCTGGGGGTACTGAGTCTGGGGGTGCTGCACCTAGGGGCGCTGAGGGGTCTGGTGAGCAGTCTCGCTGGAGCGGCCGTCTCCGTAGTCACTCCGCTGGTGCCTCGCCGCTGCACTCTCGTCCTCGTCTCCCTCTCTCCCCACAGCAGCTGCGTGAGTGGTACGTTAGCCGTCAGGGTCGAGCTGCTGGAGCTAGGGGCCCTCCTATAGGAGGCGCTGGAGCTGGTGACTCTGCCACTGAAGTTGTTTCTACTGGAGGCCTTGGAGCTAGAGGTGCCGATTCTGGGGGTGCTACTGCTGGTGGCCCTGGAGCTGGAGGTTCTGGAGCTGCTGCGAGTGCTGGCACTGGAGGTTCTGGAGCTGTTGGAGGTGCTGGCGCTGAGGGTTTTGGGTCTACTGTTGCACGGTCTCCTTGGAGTAGCCGCCTTCGTTTGCGTGTGCCTCTCACCTCTCAGCAGCTGCACGACTGGTACGGTCGCTGTCAAGGTCGCACTTCTGAAGCTCGGGGCTCTGCCGCTGGAGGTACTTCTGCTGACGTCACTGGAGCTGGGGGTGGTGCTGGTCCTAGAGGTGCTCAAACTGGAGGTACTGGAGCTGCTAGGGCTGGATGTGCTGAGCCTGAGGGTGCCACTACTGGAGACCCTGGGCCTGGGGGTGCTGCTGCTCGAGACACTGAGGCTGTAGACCCTGGGACCGGAGGTGTCGGTTTTGGGGGTGCTACTGCTGGTGGAGCTGGTCCTGGAGGAGCTGGCGCTGAGGGTTTTGGAGCTGCTGGAGGTGATGGAGCTGCTGGGGGTACTGGAGCTGCTGATGTTGGTGGCACTGCACGGCCGCGCCTGTTCTTTGCTCCACCGTCTCCGTCGTCTCAGCCACTGCCTGACTCTGTGCTTCGCCAGATTCTTAGTCTCCCTTCGTCTGCTGGTCTTCCGTTACAGCCTGGCTCACCGCTACCTGCTCCTTCTTCTTACACTGAGCAGACAGGGGGTCTTACTGAGCGTCGTGAGCCTGCGTCGCATCCTGTCTCGCCTGTCCATTCTGGTCGTTCCAGTCTTAGTGTTCCTCGTCCGCATCAGCCGGCTGTCCCAGGCACCCACCTCGTAGTCCATCGTCCTTCCTCCCCTCCGCAGCGTGTTCCTCTGCCGTCTCTTCCTGCGTCTTCTCTGCCTACCGTTCCATAGCCTGAGTCTGACCGCACCCGTGCTGCTCACCCTACTGTCACGCGACTGCTAGCCACAGTTGTCACTGACCCGTCGTTTGAGTCTGCTGCTGCGTCTGCCGTAGTCGCTGAGCTTGTTGATATTGCTGTTGCCTAACGTCTAGACTACGCCGCTAGTGTTGTTGCTGAGTCTGGGTCTGTCTGTCCTCCGTCCATCGGGGGTGAGTGTGCTCTTGGCACGGACGTCCTTGAGGACAGGCAGGAGGACCTTGAGTGTCTTGCAGCCGCTACCCCTCATCTCGTGTCCATACTGCCTGCCCCTGAGGGAGACCCGGATGCTCCAAACATCCCGACCCCGCGCTCTTACGCTGGGGCGATCGCGGGTGAGTACTCCTCTTAGTGGGAGACAGCAATGGATGTAGAGATTGCATCCTGGAAATCCACTCGCACGTACGTCGACGAGGTTCCCCCTTCTGGGGCGAACATCGTTAGTGACATGTGGATTTTCAGGGTGAAGCGACCGCCAGGTTCTCCGCCTGTCTTCAAGGCTCGTTACGTTGCTCGAGGTTTCAGTCAGCGAGAGGGAGTTGAATTCTTCCAAACCTTCTCCCCCACCCCGAAGATGACCACTCTTCGGGTGCTGCTACACGTTGTCGTTCAACGTGACTACGAGCTTCACTCTCTTGACTTCAGCACAGCTTTCTTACAGGGCAACCTGCACGAGGAGATCTGGCTGCGCCGCCCTCCTGGCTTCACTCGGTCGTTCCCTCCTGGTACCCAGTGGAGCCTCCGGCGGCCGGTCTACAGTCTCCACCAAGCGCCACGTGAGTGGCACGACACATTGAGGACGACACTTGCGGCTCTTGGGTTCGCACCTTCTACTGCTGACCCGTCGCGGTTTCTGCGCACCGACACTTCGCTGCCGCCGTTCTACATCTTCGTGAACGTCGACGACTTGGCCTTTGCCACTGCTGACACTGAGGCTCTCGCCCACGTGAAGTCGGAGCTGCAGAAGAGACACACGTGCACAGACCTAAGTGAGCTGCGCAGCTACCTTGGCTTGCAGATCACCCGGGACAGAGCACGCCGCACCATCATACTGACCCAGTCACAGATGGTGCAGCTGGTCCTTCAGCGCTTCGGATTCACCTGGTCCTCGCCACAGCACACTCCTCTGGCTACAGGCCACTCGCTCTCAGCTCCACCTTCGGATGAGTCCGTAGAGCCGAGTGGCCCGTACCCAGAGCTAGTGGGCTGCCTCGTGTACCTGATGACCTGCACTCGACCTGACCTTGCGTACCCTCTTGGCCTTCTGGCTCGCTACGTGGCTCTTGGTCGGCACCGAAAGGTGCACATGGATGCTGCTAAGAGGGTACTGCGATACTTGTGCAGTACATTGGGCATGGGGCTTGTGCTTGGAGGGCGGAGTCCAGTTGTCCTCACTGGGCACTCGGACACTTCTTGGGCTGACGACCCAGCTACGCAGCGGTCGTCACATGGTTACACCTTCAGCCTTGGCTCTTGTTCAGTTTCTTGGTGTTCTACACGCTCGTCTTCTGTTCTCAGCTCCAGTTGTGAGGCTGAGATCTACGCCACAACCATGGATGCACAGGAGTTACGCTGGCTCACCTACCTGCTGTCTGACTTGGGAGAGCGGCCTCGTTCTCCTCCAGTGTTGTACGTCGACAACAAGGCCGCCATTGCCTTGTGTTAGGAGCACAGAGTGGAGTACAGAACGAAACGCATCGCTCTGCGTTACTTCCTGGCTCGAGAGCTGCAGCAGCGTGGTCAGCTTTGTCTTGCTCACGTGGCCACTTGGGCCAACAGCTTGCTTTGCTTCTCTTGACTGGTCTTGTGAACCCTTGTTCTCCACCACGTTGCCTATGGGGGTGTGTCTAAGTATATGCATGTTATATATGTGTATGCTGTAGTGGGGTAGCCAATATGGGGTACAACCCTGTTTGGGGTTTCATACTTGTACCCAACTCTTCCATAGTTCATCATTCATGCTGCTAGATTCTAACAGTCGCCCGTCACCCACAGTTCGTTATCATTGCCACTGTGACCTTCGCTATTTAGTTCTCACTCATTCCTTCGCTCATCGTAATGTTTGCTTCGATAGTGCAATTCTCACTTGCTCACTCAATTGCAATCTTAACACCCAGCTAGAATTTAGTTGTTGATGATTATAAAAATGTAAGGTGGTGCTGGCTGGTGTACGCGGTACAGCTGACTACTCACTTTCCAGTGTCAGTCCTTTCAGGAGGCCAGCTCATCACAAGCACTTCGTGACAGATCTGCCATTTTTTTTCCGCGCTGCCACATCACCTCCCTCCCTGGGGAGCTGTCTCCCTAGCCGTGTCCCGTCCCCCTTGAGCCAATATCTCCACAAGTATGGGGTCCTATCGTTGCATAGAATTCCCATGCATGTGGCAACACAGCAGAATAATTGGCTGCTTGGCGCGACATCAATGGGAAGTCCAGCCAAACACAACTGCGAAGTGTCGTTTCCGATTGGTTGCATAACGTGCTCTTCCAATCAGCCACCGGCGCTTGTTACCAAACCTCACGCCAATTTCCCAAAATACTCGGAAGCCAATCCGAGGCAAGATCAGAGGTGTGTTCCCGAACCTTCGCCAGGCACTGCACTTCGTCTCGCAAGATCAGGGCGCTGGTTACTTGGCTATGCGATGTTCTGTATACTACATTCGCTGCACATCAGAGCTGGAGGTTGCATTTCAGGAAACTTGGTCTGAACTGATGCGATGCGAGTGCGCGTCACTGCCTTCATCAATGGTCACAAAGGTGAATTGCGGTCCAATTCGGTTTAGATACGTAAACTGTGTGATGTCCAGCATACCACACCACATTAGTAGCAACCCCTGCGGCTCCCTTGCGACTTCCGCTGCCCGCCTACAGGCTGGGAGTTGCTAGCAGCGTTTCTCCCGCAGTGACCCTTAGGACATATAGATAGTTTTCACGATTCTTTCGTACGCACATCAGCCCGCCCGTAAGAAAGCTCGTACAACCTCCGTAAGCTCACTCTTCTTGCATCGCTCCTCCCTGTGCTCGCGCGCAAGTCTTCCGCTCTTCCGTTGGCGTCCATGCGTCCCGCTGTTGCCTAATCCAAACTCCTATCCGACCGAAAGAGCTGCTCGCGACAAGCAGACCCCGCTGGATCGCCGCGAACGTTCTCTTTGTCAAAATTGCGAAGTCCAAAGCACTTGGGCTAGGTTCCTGATTTTCATTCCTGATTTGGTCCGGTTTTCTGTCCCATCCAGTTAATATCCTTATTATCGCCGCTGTTCTTGACTGCGTTCATTCCTGCGGACCGCGCGTCCTCCTTCCGTTCTGCCGCGTGTTTAGGAGATCCAAAAGTCGCCCTTCATCGGCATCCCGTGTTCGGCAATCTCAATGGCGTCGTCCTGCCTCCGTACGCTTGTCAGCGCGACTCCCGTCGCGCCAACGCTCTGTCTTACATCTACGACCAATCCCCGCCATGCCGATACGAATCCGGTTGTTCCCCGTGGTGTTCCCATCGCCGCCTCCGTCTCCCGTGGTATCCCCGTCACCGTCTCCGTTTCCTTCTCCGTCTCCGTCTCCCATGGTACCCTTCGCGCTTCGCCGTGCGCAAGGGTTTCCGGGCCGCAATCCTTGGCTTCCCCGCATGTCGCCCGCGCCTCCCTCTCCTCCTGCTGCTCCTCCCGCTCGGCCTCCTACTCCTCCCTCTCTGTCTCCGACTCACCCCGCTCCACGCGCGCCGTCTTTTGCGCCGTACCTTGCGCCGTACCTTGCGCCGCAACCTGCCCCGCGCTACCCCTCGCCGAGCGCAAGCCGTCGTTTGCGCGCACCGCGACGTCACCAGCGCCAGCGGCGCGTGCTGCCGGCGCGCTGTTACGGCCGCGTCACCCGCTCACATCTCTTCCTCTCTCCGCCTCTTCCGCTCCTCCGCTCCTCGATCCCTCATCAAGCTTTATCTCTTCGTCAGACGCGTTGCGTCCCGGTCGCGCAATACTAGCAGCTTCCAACCGGCCGCTCTCCGCGCTTGCCGCCCGCGCGTCCGCATCTGACGCTGGCAGTTCCGGCGACGGGGAGGGCAGTAGCGGGGGGAGAAGCAGCGGAGGTGCGAGAAGTGGGGGAATGGGCAGCGGTGGAAGCTTGGGGGACGCCCGTGGGGGCAGCGAGTGGCAGAAGGGAGAGGGGTCGGACGAGGCGGGGGAGACGGCGGGGGAGGGGAAGGCGGGTGAAGGGGAGGCGGAAGAGATTGACGAGGCGGAGCGCGAGCGGCAGGAGGAGCTGCTGCGCGCGCTGGGGCTGGACTCGAGCATTCCCGAGACGGCGAACGAGTTCCTGGATAAGGTGTCGAGCCGCGCGTACGACATGAGGCGGCGGCTCGAGAGCACTTTGGAATCCACGTCCTACGACGGTGAGCCGCCGCCGCCGCCGCCTCGTGTATTACGTCTTCTCAGGAGCGGCTCCCAAACCCCATTCAACCACATCCAACCCTACTCGAGAGTATCACGGAGTCCACTGCCCCTTCCCCCTCCCCTCCATCCCCTCACACCCGTAATCTCCCCCTTCCATCCTCTCCCCTCCGCCCTCCGCCCCCTGCGCGCAGTGGTGGACTCGAACCCGTGGCGCGACCCGTCGAAGGCGCTGTTCGTGCTGGCGCAGGGGGACGCGCAGCTCTACACCATGCGCACGCGCACTCCGCGCAGGTGGTTGTGCGCGGAGGGGGAGGGGGGAGGGGGCTGGGACAGGAAGGTAGGGAAAGGGGGGGGACGCGCAGCTGTACACCATGCGCACGCGCACTCCGCGCAGGTGGGTATGGGCGGAGGGGGAAGGGGGGGGAGTGGGGAGAGGGAGGGGAGAGAGGATGGAGGCCCACCATTTGCTATCCGCGTCCGTACTCCGCGCAAGTGGGGGAGGGCGCGCATGGGACGGGGAGAGAAACGTAGAAAGAGGGGGGTAAGGGGGGCGGATGAAAATAGGAGGTATGCAGGAGCAAAGGGAGCATAGTGGAAGTGATGGGGAGGTAATTTTTGGGGATGAGGTAAATGAGCTGAATAACTTAAGTGAATCACGTACAGGCTGGATATGTGTTGACCACAGATGCGGCTTGTATTACAAGGGAGAAGGGGGAATTGAAGGTGCTGGTTCATTCGACGAACATTTTGTTCCTCTCCTCTGGATCTGAAAACCTTGCTCCTCTCCGACAAACCACGTAATCGCTCCTTATCCCTTTCCCCTCGCATCCTCCTCTTTTGCTAGCAACTTCCTGTTAGCTCACAGCTTCAGTTTATGAGGCGCTTCGTTTCAGATTCCCATCCCATCATGTCTTGGTTGACCTCTTTCTGTCCATGTTTTTTTCCGGTTTTCCGTTTTCACCTTTTCCATCTACCAGTGAGGTGGAGAGCGAGTTGGATAAGCTGTTCGGGGAGAGGAGAGGCAGGAAGGGAGGCATTTCAACTGGTGCAAGTGGGAAGAGCAGCAGCAGCGCTGGCAGCAGTGGCGGCGGTGGCGGCGGTGGTGGAGGTGGTGGTGGCAGTGGCGGCACCCGTACTGCTTCGCCCACGCGCTCTCGCTTCTCGATGAAAGTGGAGGACGTGAGGGAGGGTGTCCTGGTACGGGTCATCCCCTCCCGTTTGATTTCAAGTTTAACTTCTGAGTCTGACTTGTAGGGTTTCCGTTTCTAGAGTTACCTCACGAGTTCTTTACCTCACCTTTCCTCACCATCCACGCCACCATCCCTGCCACCATCCATGTCTGGCGGCAGGTGTTTGAGGACGAGCAGCAAGCTGCACAGTACTGCAGTCTCTTGGAGGGGCAGGGCCACAATTGCCTTGGAGTCGCACAGTTCAAGGCCAAGGATGTGAGTCACCCAGTTCTAGGTCAATGATTGAGTTGCGCAGTTCAAATCCATGAGTTACGCAGCTAGAAGCCAACAATGTGAGTTCCTCTGTTTGGTGACCTCGAGTCATGCTGTATTGTGCTGGACCTGTGCTATGGCGAGGCTGTGAGTTGCGCCATACCAAGTGTGTGAACAGACCTATACGGAGTACGGAACACGTGCTTTACTGAAGGGCAAATTGTCCGTGGTGTTACTCTTGCTACTATACGTTGGGCTGCACGCAGGTATGGTTGGTTTGTGCAGTACAGATTGTCTCACAGTCCTACTCCATCCCCCTCTCTCCCTCCTCTTGCCACCCAACCTTCGCCCCAGCTGTTCAAGGTGTGCCAGTCATCCAAAGCCCTTGCTGTGCTGTTCCGTAGTGGTGTGGTCCCCCCCCAGCCCGACCGCCTGCAGCAGCACCTGGGAGCCAAAAAGAGGTCCTTGGAGGATGATGTGTGACGGGGAGGGGGGTTGATGGAAGGGAGAGTGTTGCAAAGTGGGGGAGGAAGGGAGATGGGTGGTTGAGGAGAGTGTGTTGATGTGTGAAATGTGTTGATATTGAGCTATTGGGCTTGAGATTTCGAGCTGGACTCACAAAGTTGGCAGGCCTGGAGTATGATACCATACCTGGGTTGGTGAGCGTGCATTGGCATTGGCTGTACATATCTTGTCGTCTGGTGGATCTGTTGCCTGGTGTAGCTGTTGCCTGGTGTAGCTTATATGTTCCGGTTGCCCAACGGTTGTGTAGGCGTGTGTGAACAATCAGCGATAAGACCGCACTCATTATTATTTGTATGCATTGCCTTCGAGGATGTACATATCTGTTTACTTATTGGCTTCCAATGTTGTATTTATCATAATGGAGGATAGGGAAAATTATGTGTGCTAGAAATGTAGTCAAAATAATCCGCAGTCACCTCCATAATATCTTGTCCCACCTTTGGTAGGTTTCAGCCTTCGTGGCGCCGAGCTGGAGTGGGCCATGATTGACGGGACCACTCACATCACCACGATTCACCCTAACGCATTGACCATGCCCATCATCGTCAGCAAGGTGCACAAGCAGACGTGGAACCAAACACGTCATGAACTCATCACCCAGGCTGGACGGCCTGGAAGGATCACGCACGAGTGACACAACGACCATCTTACCCAGCTGGATATGGCCCATCTCGCCTCAAAACCAGCACCGAACCGCGGATGGGAATGAGGTGGGGCAATGCGAGCCTCTCGCGTCGCCATCGCACATCGCTTGGAAACGAATCTTTGGGAATCTCCAACCTTGCCGCGCTAATCGTGCGGGAATTATGGGGCCTGCGGAAATTCGGATTCCGGATGGAAGGGCGCTCCTGCGCAGCTGGGCACGCTCCACCACCACGGCCTTGGTGGTGTGAGATCCGGGGGCACGCCCCTCCCTTGGAGCATCCCCCCCGGCGGGGAACACCAACCAGCGGCGTTCCGCCTGTTATCATCCCTGCTCCCGCAAGCCCCCCTCTTCCCAGCCGTCATTCCCAGGGAGTCGACTGGACGAGTCAAGTCGAGCGAGTCGGCGTGCAGCAGCAACCCGAACAGACCAGAAAATAATATAATCCACCGAGACTCAAAGCTCAATTCATCTGACAGCAAACGCTTCACTTCCTGTCCCCGTCGCCGCTACTTCGCCTGCGTAATTCCGTCAAATCCTCGCCATCCGTCTTGCAAGCTCCGACCTCCATTCCACATAAGCATTTCTCCTCCACTGTCCACTGCCAACACCTCGACAATCCGGGGCTTCGGGGCTGACGCTGCTGCATTGGCTTCTGGAAGTAGTGCCCACTAGCCGACGCTGCAGGTTTCGAACTTCAGTCAAGTCTTCGCTTTCAAGCAGAGCGACGCGTACCCGTTGGATCCAAGTCACGATGGCTACTACTTCATCGTCACCGTTGCTGGCGACAGCCGCCAAGAAGGCTGCAGATCTCTGCCCTCGGATGCTGGAGAAGCTCGTCAGAAGGTATGTTCAACGAATATTCCAAAGATTCCTGGAAATGCTGGCCGGACGAGTTCTAGCTCATGGCAGTGTCCGTCCTCTTTCATCCCTTGCTCTTATTTCTCGCCTGCGTTGCTCCTGTTCCAAAAGGTCTAACCTGTTTCGCTTGCGTTTTTCGTAATTCTCACTACTGACTCTCTTTGATCCAACGTGCTTGTATCAAGCAGGTATCACTCCACCCCCGTCGCTCTCGAGAGGGCTTTCCACACGGAAGTAACGTCCTCTACTAAGTCTACCTCGACAACGCCGGCCGTTGCATCCGAAATGCGCTATCCATTCGCTGGTGTGACTCTCTGGAAACCCGACCCCGTGTCAGGCAACTGGGTTCCTGAGGCGGCTATTCTCCCTTCCTCGGCATCCCTGCGCTCCACTGTCGCCAGCCACAGCGATAGCGCTTCGGAAACGCGGTTCCGATCGATTCCACGTGCCTCGATGGACGAGCGTGCGTGGTGGTCATCTGAGGAGTTCTCGATGGATCGCAAGCACCGGTCATCTTAATTCCCTTATCGTGTATTGCGAAAGGGTGTACAAAGTATCGTTTTGTGTACAGATCAAGGTTGCGTCGTTATTGTGGCCATCCATGTTTCTGTCGCAACCCAGTGAGGTTATACAAGTTCTGAAAGGTTTTCCTTGCATGTGAATCAGCAAAAACAGGGTATCATATAGACATGCAAGGCTAAGTCTGACCACTTAAGCCACAAACTTTGAAAGCCCGTTGGAGAGTGCTAACCAGTAATTCATGGGTTTTGTAACGACATATGGGCCCTGTTCTACAGGCATCTGTTACCGTTGTCAAACCTCTTGGTTGCTTCTGGGAACAGTCAATTTACGATGTGTTGCAATTGCCTGTGCACTGAATCGGCTCGGGACGTTTGGAAGGCTTCAGGCAGGCGGGAGGCCAAACACGGGCACTGATTCGGGAAAGAAAAGTTTCAAGTTAGGGATTCAAAGAGTCATTTACCAATGTTATATTAGGTCACTGATTTCTTTCTGCGCGTTTCCTTTGCCAAATTTACGGCCTCTTGCGTTCCTGGGGCCTTTCTAAACCCGTGCCACGAGCCGAGCCGATGCAATGCACCGCGAATTGCAACACGCCGTTAGGTTCGATCGCTTGGTCAGCCCGAAAATGGCGTCAAACCTGCTTGTTTCCATCCGAACCAAACGGAAACACGTGGCTGCAGAACAAGGTGCAGTGTGGACACGGAAACGTCGATACGGAAGGTGAGTACTCAACTTTGTCGAGAGTTAAGGGAAAGGATGGTTGCACTATCGAGAAAGTTGGGTACAAGAAACAAAAACTTATACCCTACATTAGCTACCCCACTAAAGCCTAAATTTTTATTATGACACAGGCATATAATTTGACAAACTTCTCTCCCTAACCATTTTTGTTCCCGTTTGGTTGCCAAGGGATACTGACTTTTTCCGGGAAACAAGGCATCCATATGGATACAACTGTCCAGGTGCAACAAGTTCTCTGCCCTCCAAACTACGCACAATTTCGTAAGCCAAACCCCTCCTGTTTTTGGGTGGCGATGGGTGGTAGGGAATTTCAAGAAAGCCCAAGCACAAATATGTAAATTAAGAACGCGGAGCAAGCTCAAGCTTGTACTTTTCAAGAGTCGTTAGATCTACCGCTGAAAGTTAGGCGCCATGGATATATCTAAGTGACGGGTGTCCACTGGGTTTGGATGGACCCGACCTACGGATTTTGGTCTGGACCATCCAAGTGTCGAGGAATCCCTAGGGTTTGGACCCCACGGACTTTTTTTGTCTGGACAAAAGCCCCTACACAGACAAGTAGACCTTAACTAGGTGCAATTCAAGAAGAACTAGACCCCCTCCGTTACGAGAAGGAGGGCCGACACTTGCGTCTGGGCAGGTAGAAATTTCCTTGGACCTTGGTGACCTTTCGCGGGGTGGGAGGCATGATGAGTCTAAACAGAAAGCTATACGCTGGTTCCCGTGTTTCCGTTTCCAAGCCATGGGCGTTTGCATGTAAAACAGGGCCTGGTGTGTCAAGGCCTTTTCCCCGTCCCTAAGCCCGTGTCGGAAGATTCTTGGTAGTTGTGAACAAGAACGCGTACTAGCTGCCGACACCACACTGTTTCCCTAGGAGCGCAAGCCGACATGCCAGAACGCCCAGCCTGCGTTTTGTCTGCACATAGGCCTGGAAAGACTACAACCTTCAAGGCACGCTATGAGGCTGAAGGGTTTAGTCAGCGTGAGGAGGAATACTCCTTCCATACCTTATCCTCCATCCCGAATAAGACCATTCTTCGGATACTGCTACACACCGCAACATAGTGCGACTACGTGCTTCAAACAAGATTGATTTCTCTAACGATGGTCTATATTTGAAAGCGGGGGTTTAGAGGTTTTTGTTTTGAACCAGGCTTGCCAGCGCGAAAGTGTTGGCTAGCGAAAACCTGGATTTCGTGCGGGCACTTTTCCTCCGCAGTAACAGTTCGCGAGGGTTTTGGGTTAAGGTGGCAAATGTGTACCGTCGCTTTAAACTTGAAACAAATTGTACACAAATTTGTGGCGAAAACACAACATACATAACTGTCAGAATGAGGAATGGATGTTGCATTGATGTTGGTTGGGGTACATATGACAAACCCTAACTTCTGTACCCCCTAAGACAAACCTCACTACAGGCTACAACATTTGACACACCCCCATAGCCTAAGTGAGGGGTGTCTAGCAAAAACAAAAAAGAGTACGGTCACAAGACCAGTCCAAAAGAAAACAAAGCTCAGGGTGGATCACAACGTCACCACACACTCTGAGCACAAGCAACAGTGGCCACAAGGCCAGTCCAAGAGATCACAAGTATATATAGTAAGTGTACAGACGAAGCAGGCAATAAACTCAAGTCTACGCATGACTAGAACCTGTGTCAACAAGACCTAACTGCACACAACACCTCTGGTGGTCACAAGGCGGAAGCGCCTTGGTGAAGATGTCTGCAGTGTTGGCCTCGGACTCTACAAACTCGAAGCGAGCCTGTCCACGCCTCTGCAACTCTCGCAGAAGAAAGTACCTGACGTGAATGTGCTTCACTCTGCTCTCCAGTCGCGGCTCACGACAGAGGAGGATCGACGCCTTGTTGTCAGTAAACAAGGTCGGTGCAGAGCTCGGCCGCTCACCAAGGTCGGCGAGCAAGAAGGTCAACCACCGTAACTCCTGTGCCGCCATTGGGACCAGCGTAAATCTCAGCCTCAGCTGTAGAGGTCGAGACAGAAGAGGAGCGCGTGGAACGCCAGGAAACAGCTCCAGAACCCAGACTGAAACAGTACCCCTGAGTAGACCTGTGAGTCTCAGCGTCGTCAGCGTAAGAGGAGTCACAGTGACCAGTGAGTACGACAGACTGCTGCCCTCCAAGAACTAGCCCCACGCCTGATGTAGTCGCTAGGTACTTCGCCACCCTCACAGCTGCCGTCCAGTGAACAGGACGGTGTCTCCCTGGCGCAACAAAGCGCGCAAGGATGCTGAGAGGGAAGGCGAGGTCCGGGCGAGTACAAGTCATCAGGTACATGAGGCAACCCACAAGCTCTGCGTAGGGACCACTAGGCTCAAACGGCTCGTCAGGAAAGGGACCAGTGAGTCTGTGGTCAACAGCTAGAGGTGTGCGCTGTACGGTGGAGTGCTGAAGCCCGAACCGCTGAAGGACCTGCTGCACCATGTGTGACTGTGAGAGTGTAATGGTGCGAGCGGCTCTGTCCCTGGTGATCTGCAGGCCAAGGTAGTGGCGCAGCTCACCAAGATCAGTGCACGTGTGTCTCTTCTGCAGTTCGGACTTCACGTCTGCCAAAGCAACCCTGTCCGAAGTGGCGAAAACGAGGTCGTCGACGTAGACCAGAACAAAGAACGGTGTGGAGCCACGACGAACGAACAGCGACGGGTCGGCAGAAGACGGCTGGAACCCAAGGTCAGAGAGGGTAGAACGCAGAGTGTCGTGCCACTCACGAGGGGCCTGGCGAAGACCGTAAACAGGTCGCCTCAGCCTCCACTGGGTCCCAGGAGGGAAGGTGCCAGTGAAGGCCGAGGGACGACGCAACCAGACCTCCTCGTGTAGGCTGCCCTGAAGGAAAGCAGTGGAGAAGTCGAGAGAGTGTAACTCGTAGTCTCTCTGTGCTGCTACGTGTAGTAACACCCGAAGAGTGGTCATCTTCGGGGTAGGTGCGAAGGTCTGAAAGAAGTCAACTCCCTCGCGCTGACTGAAACCTCTAGCCACGTAGCGTGCCTTGAAGACCGGGGGAGATCCCGGTGGCCGCTTCACCCTGTAGATCCACATGCCGTCGACTACGTTCGCCCCAGGGGGGGGAACCTCATCGACGTAGGTGCCTGTGGATCTGTAGGAGGCCATCTCTGCGTCCATGGCAGCTCTCCACTGAGAGGCCCAAGGCCCTGACACTGCCTCAGCGTAAGTGCGAGGAGTCGGAATGTCAAGGGCGTCGGGGTCACCCTCAGGGGCGAGGAGCATGGCACAGAGATGAGGGGAAGCGGCCGCCAGGAACTCTAGCTCAAACTGCCTGTCCTCTAGGGCGTCACAGCCAAGGGCAGACACACCCCCGACGGCCAGAGGACTGGTAGGAGGAGCAGCCACAAGCGTGGTGGCGTAGTCAAGGCGGCGGGTAGAGGCAAAGTCAGTAACTGCGGCAGTAAGAGCGGACACAGAGGACACAGAGGCACGAGGGTGAGTAACAAGAGAGGCGAGAACACGAGAGAGAACAGGACGGTACGTGCGGTAGTAGTCAGTGACAGGAGTAGGGAGCGACACAGTGAGGGCCGACTCAGGAGGAGACGGAAGCACAGACTGAGACGGACGAGGTGGACTAGAAAGAAGGAAGGCAGTACGAAGGTCAGTGAAGGGAACAGGAGACGAGGGACGAGCACGAGGGGAGCGACGAGTAGCCCAAGAACGAGACGGAGGAGGAGAGGACAAAGGCGGAGAACTGGGGAAAACAGCGGGGGAGGAGTCAGGAGGAGGAAACGTGGGACCGTAGACAGGAGGAGAGGTGGAGGAGGGAGGAGAAGGGGAGGGGAGACCAAGGATCCGAAGACCCGAGACAGGAGGAGGAAGTGGCTGCTGCTGCTGCGGCTGCGACTGCTGCTGCTGCGGACGCGGCTGCTGCTGGGACTGCTGCTCCTGCGGGTCCAGCTGCTGCTGCTGCTGCTGCTGCTCCTGCGGCTCTAGCTGCTGCTGCTGCTCCTCCAGCCGCTGTAACTCCCTCTCCTCTCTCTCCAACGCCAGCTGCTCGTCACGGGCACGGCGAACACGAGCCTGGTGCCTAGTCGGGTAGGGGTGGGGGGGCGGAGTAGTGTCCGAAGCAGCGGCAGCTCCAGAGTCCACCTCAGAAGAACTAGGCGCACCACCCCCAGAGGCAGCACTAACACCAGCTCCAGAACCAGGCTCACCTGAACCCGAAGGAGGCGCACCCTCACCCCTAGACGCAGCACCCCCAGTGTCCGCGCGGCCAGCACCAGCTCAC